AGCTCATCCATCTCTCAACAAAATTTGCCTCAAAACATGCTACATCATAGGTCACATGCACTATCCACCCTAACACCTTCTGGTAGTCATGCCTAGTATTAGTCCTCTATCGCTGTTAGTTAACACTACAAGACATTGCTGCAGCAGCAGTCCTCCACAAGCAGTTTGTGAGCCTGTATGCAGCAAAGATCAGGCAGGGGCATACAATAGCACCTTTGTCAGACCATCAAGAACTGCAATGACTGTGATGTGGAACTAAGAATGCAGTTTTATGCCACACACCTTACTACTGCTTTAACCCTCCACTGACTCTGCGTGCTGATGTGTGGTGGGGAAAGCATGTGGTGTTGTCCACAGCAGCTGCAGGTTGCTGGGTGGGCCCTGTAGACAGACAAACATGCCCATCAGAAGTTAAATACGCCAAACCCTGTATAGGAGACTCCATACAGAATATATGCAGCAAGAGGTAATTTGACACAAAATCCAAAAACTGCAGTTGCCCTTGTTTGCTTGCACATGAATGACAATTATCCCCCCTTAAAATCAGGGGGTCCCCAACCATCTGTCAATCTCAGAGTGATGGATGCAACTGTGTAGATACCTGTAGTCACAGCTATCACCTCCCATGCAGAAAAAGCATGCCCGGGAATCGAACTCAGGTCGGAACTGAATTATTTGCCTAATCCAACCCGTTCTATCATGACTTCCCCAGAGAAGATTTCACCATTCTCAAGTCTTAGCTCCGTATATGAGCTAGTAACCAGCATACTTCCTCAACGGCTTCTTCCTGTTTGAACCTGGGTAGTTGCCTTAATCAACCTGTTACATCATGATTTCCCCCAGAGAACAACTCACCAGTGGTCACTATTCACGTGTCGTGATATGAGCCAGTAGCCAACATACGCCTCCATCCTCAACGGCTTCCAAACCGGCACCCATATCTCAGGCAGAGCGGCATCATGCTTATGTCACCTTTCTTCATCGTAGGCAGAGCTTTGGTGGATGATGCCGTCTGCAGCTCCCGTTTCTCGCTTCTGTACACATGCCTGCTGAAGCAAGTTTACCATATGGGGTTGCAACCCCCTCATTTGAGTCCTGCAGATCATGCAAGCAAGCAGTTGCAATGTCTAACATGCAAGCCCAATTTTACTACTTCTCATGAGACAACATCATACGTTGGGTTGTTGCTTGGGTTTGGTGC